TAAAAATTAACACTTACTGATTGTCATCTGTTATTTCTGGCTCATCCAATGACTGTCGGTATTGTCTCAAGGACACTCCAACTTCTGTGAGCTTCGTGGTGAACTCAATTTTTTTATCGTCTGGCTCAGGAATGTCGTCTTTGACAAATGTGTATTTCTATTTTAAAAGAAAGAGAACTTAATTTTCCTTGTGCTTGTTTTTATGACCTGCCTAATGATGATAACAACAAAATCGTCAAAATCCAATAATCCTAAAATCACGCCTCAAGAGGCACAGCATGAATTACTTGGTCTCTTCAATTATATATAATTACCGTATGCTGGTCTCCTGGCCCTTTTACGGACTGTAATTTCCCTAGCCCAAGCGACTCCAGCTCTTCCAATACTTTGACTACCCGTTCCTTGTTGCCATATCCACGCCACTTTTTCTTTTTTAACAATGGCGTGACTTGTAAACGTTTTCCTGGCAGCAGTAATGTATGACATCTGATGTCTTTTGCTGGTGGAACATTCGAAACTGCAGCTGCCGCAGGTTGTACAGCTTCTGCTAGGACGCTCGACATTTCTTCCTCTAACGAAGATCGCGATGCCAAAAAGAATGCGTGGTCTCCACAGAGCTTTACAAACTTTATTGCAGCAGTCATGGCAACATCGGTGATGTGCTCTGGTTGGTATTCATGCCCCGATCCTAAGCTAAATAGAATCGTGAATACTCCAGCAACTCTTAAAATTTGACCTTTAGACTTGCTTAACATCCCTAGTRAAAAAAGAATCAGATTAAAAAAAAAGAAAAGACTAGRCTAATGTGARTAGAACAGTGCACAGACTACATSCATGTGTAAARTGGAACAGAACCGAATCAGTAGAAGAATTATTTCATCGACATCTGATTCCAGAGAAATACAGAAATCAGATGGGCTTTCCCAGCAAAGATTACATTATTTGAGTCAACATTAAGTCCCATTTTGATCTAACACCGATAGTTACCTGTAATCATATCGTCATATCCTGCAATTGTTTTAAGTTCTTTCTGTATGTTATTGAAAACTTCAGTAAACGAAGGGCAGCTTT